GCTCGAGCCGGCCCTGCCTGAAGCCAGGAGCAAGAATTGCTCTTCTCCTCCTGCTCCTGCAGCAGCCTGAGGAGCATCACGCCTGGTCCCCCGCTGGCTGCCTGGCTCCCCACACCCTCCTCCTCCCACCTACCCATCGCCATCAAATCCCACGCGCCGACCCGCTGCGTTATTTTTCCTCTCCCGTAACACACAGACACCCTGGGAAAACAGCCTTAAACAAGACAGCTTGACTTTGGACACCAGGAGACACCAACGCTGCTTTCCTACTCCCCCTCCTCACCAGGTACCAAGCCCACAGTGGAAGTTTTCTGTCCTGCAACAGTTTTTATTGCTTCCCCCTGTCTTGCAGAGCCTGCTTGACCTTTAAAAGCCTCCTGACAGATCCTGGAACGAGTGCCCTGTGCCAGACACCAAAAAGTGGTTTGCAAGAGGAGGGAGCAAGAAAAAAAAAATCCAGCCCTGGAGGCCAACCCCAGCGAAGTTCCCGCTCCCAAAGCAGGAACATCATGTGCACGTACGTCTATGTTGTATGCCAGAGGAGAAAAAGGAGGGAGTATTCGCAAGGAGGGGGGAAAAAAAAAAAAAAAGCAAAAGCAAAAGAAAGGGATTTCTTCAGACTCCAGAGGGCTGGCTGAGAGAGGCAGCAGCTGAAAGAAACGCTCTGCTCTTATTACTGCATGGAAATTGCAGCTGCCAGAAGGAATTCAGGCCGATCTGTTGCTGAATATAACTTTAAAAAGACAGCCAGCCTCAAATCATGGGGTGTTCACGGGTGTCAGAAAGCCAGCGCTTTCTGGGCCATGTCAAAGCCAGCGCGGTGGGACCCACGGCCTGTTCTCCGGTGAAGATGGAGAACAAAGACAAAACAAAAAGAGTCGGATGAGCAGAAGATGCCCAACAGGCAGGAGGGGTCCCTCAGGTTTGGGGAGAAATGTGTTAATGGGGGAGACATCAGCTGTTGGGCCCCAGAAGGCAGGAAATTTGAGGGCTGGTTCCTAGAAAGGAGAGCAAGTGGGGAAAAAACAAAGGAAAAACCTTTCCTGAAAGTAATTTCAGCTGCAGGTGACAAGAGGACAGAGGATGAAACGGGTCCTCACCCCAGTGCCGGCAGCCTGCGCTCCCGGCCGGCCTCTGCCTGGCAGCCAGCCCCTCCTGCAAGCTGCTCCCCCTCGTCACATCGTCAGAGAGTAGGGCAAAAATAAGGGTTTTCATCTTCCAGCAAGCCAGCATGCTGTCAAACTAATAAAAATCGCGCTAAGCTTAACCATAACACACAGAGGCTCCACCTGCTCGTCCTGGAGAACATGAGTCACGGGCTGAGCTCCACTTTCCGCTGCCAGCCGCTCCGCCGGCTCCTTTTACCTCCCTTTGGAAGGGAAACGAGACACGCTCCCAAGGAGCTCCCCCCCTACTCAAACACACAGCGGAGAACGGCACCGGAGCAGACCCGCCGTGCTGCAACTTTCCCTGCTTTTAGCCACCGCGACGTCAGCTTCTGGGCCATTCCCAGCACTTGGTGACCAATGCTTTGATGGGCATTTTGGGGAGCACGGTGCAGGGGCATCTGGAGATATTTTTAATCCAATCTCCTTGCTGCTCACCCAGAGGGCTTCTGCCCTGTTTTCTGGGCGTTCTGCAATCCAGCCCGGGCCGCGACGCCCCGGCAGCGACCACAGACAGACTTACCGACGTAGAAGGTGTTGGGCGCCTGCTTGTCCCCCAGCTGCAGGTAGAGGATATTCGTCGTCTGCGAGTCATGCCGGAGCCACAGGGCCACTCCCAGGATGATGCCTCCGGCCAACTGCGGAGAAAGCAGAGGGATGCAGGGGTTACCCAGGGCTCCAGAACCCCGGGCTTGCATTTTTGGTTTCTTACTTACTCCCTTCGCTTACAAGGACAGCCTTCCTAACCATTGTCACCAGCCCTGCTTGTGCCCCATGTGGGGCAGAATCTCCTGCTTTAGGAGAGGACCCCTCGTTCTGGGGATGCACAAAGCCCTTTCCAAGCTCCCGCAGGTGATTTCTTTCTCTAGAGCCGTTTAATTACCTTATTAAAATGGAATTAGCTTACCCACGAAACATGAGATCAGCCCCAATTGCTCCCTTTTCCCAATTCTGTGATGCACAAACAGGGTTTTGGGGTTTGTTTAATCTGCTGAGAACCTGCTGGGACTGTGGCTCAGATGGTGAGGAGACCATCAGTTTTCCTCTCTATCCCCAGTCTCATATACATATCACTTCCCAGTTGGGGAAAAAAAAAAGGATACAAACAAGCTTCAAACACGGGAGAAGACGTTCTTCATACAGAGCATCAGCCCAGCTCACCACTGGAATAGTTACGTCCAAATAACAGCAAGTTTTGAGTGACACTCCCATTTAAAACCATGGGAGAGAGGAGAAAAAACAAACACACAGAGGAAAAAAAACCCCAACCCAGCAATCCCTTAAGAATTCAGTATCACTTCCACAAAAGGCTGGAAGCGCTTGTTCAAAGCTCGAAGCCACCCGTCTTAAAAAAGGGAGGATAACCACCAAAGAGCGCAGAAGTGGAAACACAATTTTTTTCAAACGCGTCTGAGTCCACATTAAAAAAAAGGCCACATTAAAAAAAAAAAAAAGAAAAGAAAAAGTTTGTTTAATAAAAGTGCAAAGTCTCCAGCTGTGCGAGCGCTGATCGCAGGAGAACCGGGATTTGCAAGGCGGGCTGTGGGTGGGAGCCCAGCTTTGCCCTTCAGGGGGGCTCAGCTTTTTCTGCTTGCTCAGTTCTGTAAATCCCAGCCCAGAGATTTACGCGAAGCTGGGGCAAACCCACACAATTTGTGCTAAACTCCCAGGACAAGCTGACCCCGGGGCTTTCCCACTTGCTGGAGGGAGAAAACACCCCCAACCCCCTCAAGAGGGAGGGGAGACTTTACAAGCTTTTCCCCAATTTGCCACCAAAATAATCAGCTTTTAACACTTCTCCCACGGCAACTTGCTCACCGCCACAGTCCCTCATCCCTCTTGCACTTCGGAGAGGCCAAGGTTTTCCAAACACTGGCTCTGGAGAAAAGTCACGCAAGCCGGTCCGTGCTCAAATCCAGCTCCAAATAAGGCAGCTCGTGGCTTTGCAAAAAGTTACCCAAATCCAGCTCGTTCACTGTCTGAATGAAGCCTGTGTTTATCCTCTCCAGAGGAGGAGAATGCCCCCAAATCAATCAGTGCCGCTCTTAAAGAAAAGGTCTCTCGGTGGCTTCCAGGGGAGAAGCGATGCTGAGGAAGATTTGAGTTTCTGTGCTGCCTGGGAGAGGTGAAGAGAAGCCCGCAGCCCTTTTCGGTTTGGTTGTCCCCCTGTGTGGGGACATCGCTCTCGCCGGCACGCCACGCAGCGCTACCCATGGTGGCACAGCAGCGTGAGGAGCTGTGGCTTTCCAACCAAACTCGCCCTAAAACGCCCCACACAGAACCAAAAAGCAGGTTGCAAGCTACCCTCAAAATATTTCTTAACCGTTTGGGAGCATCAGCTGCAAAGGACGGAGCCTCCTCTGACACATCAAGCCCCTGGCACGGCGAGGTCTGCCTAGGGCAGCCAGCTGTGAGCCATCTCCAGATGTTCCTGCCTTCAGCCCCCGGCACCGCCTACCTCCACTTGCCTTTTGACCAGAGCCCAGAGGACCTCCGAAGGGACGGTTTAAGTTGATTTCTTAAGAGAAAACAACGTCTGCTTACTAATGAAAACAGGGCTTAGGCGATCATGAGTAACTTTTTCCATGAGAACCATACATCCTACCGCCACCAAGAAGCGTAGGATATAATTAAGGCATCTTTACTCCCAAAAGAAAGAAGACAAGAGGGAGAAAACCTCATCCAGCCACTGCACCTTGCTTGGGATAATCTCATTTTTAACACAACCACTCATACCAGACAGAAACACGGTATTTTCTTCCCTCCCCTGCTGCTGTTTGCCAAAAAAGAAGGCCTCCAACCACCGATGTCAGGGTCACGCTGGTCTCTGGGCTGCGTATCCTCATACAGTAAACATCCCCTCCTTTTTTCCTTCCCCCCGCCATCGGGACGTGGTCTCGTGCAGGTTACCTCTGCTCTGCGCTCGCCCAGCTTGTCTCCAAGGGCTGTCACTCTTCGCAGATACACCGCAAGTGCCTGGCACAGCTCTCCATTTACAGTTTTGGGGACTGCTTTAATGAAAGTAATAACCTAAAAGGTCAAACTTCAGCAACACCAGCCCTGCATCGCCCCCAGATGTGCTTTCCAGCCCGTCCTTCCCCTGCCAGCACAAAGGTGCTTCCAAGGCCACCGAAACGAGCAACCGCTCGGACTTGGAGCACCCAGATTATTTTCCAGCATTTTAAGCGCTGCTACTTTTACAGCCTCACACTTCCCTTTGCTCTGGAGCGTTCGAAGCTCTCATTCTGTCACTTTCCTTATGTATGCCTTTTAATAATAGAAAAAAATTCAAAATCGCACAGACACACCCCCCAAAAGAAAACAACTCCTCGACAAAATCAACACCTCCTCTACCCTCCTCGCCCTTTCAAAAATTCGCCACAAGCCTAGAAGGACACCCAGTCCACAGCACGGTGCCTCTGCCACATCCCCAGTGCTCCCCAGGACCAGGCCAGCCCCAGAGCTGCCCACCGGCACGGCAGGCTCAGCGTTTCCTCTTCAGCGCCTCTTTCCAGCTTCCAGAGATTTATTGCTTCTTCCAAGCATATCCAGACGTTTCCTGCCTGCCCGAGGCTCGCTTTTCACAACGATGCTCAGAGAGGGAAAAGGCAGCCCCCGGCCCCCTGAGGGATGATGACGGGGTGATACCCCACGGGATGAGGTGGTACCTACCGTGATGGGGTACCACCATACCAGCACCCCACCGACGGCGGGTGCGCAGCCCTGCTCTGCCTCCCGACCCGCTGTGCACGTAATGGGGCTCACACTTGGGTTGAGCCTCGCTGACAGACGTGCCGCTCGCCCTAAAATGTCCCAGATCCAGCCGCGGGGCACGGGAACAAGCCTGTCTTTCACAGCGCAGCCACTCCTCCCCTCCCCAAGAAATTGCCATGATTCAGGGCTGCAAGGGATGGCCTCATTCCACCCCACTAACACGGGGACCCCATATCCAAGCTGCCCCCGGACACCCGCATCCTCCAGGACGTGCATCACCGCTCCTTTCCCCTGCCCCCAGCCCTTTTCCTCCTGCTCCCTTCCTTCTGTCTCTCTCTGAAATAGGTTTCCTGGCGAGGAGGAGGAGAAGGAGGAAGCAGCCCTGGCTATAGGGCAGCCTATAGTTGGCCACATCGAAGCGGAGCAGACATCCTGCGGCTCAAGCTGGCGGGAAGCGGGGGTGCCAGCAGTTTCACAATGCTGTATTTTTAGCAGCTCCGGTTCCCGTGGCCGGTCCTGCTGCCCCCGGGACGCTGCTTCCCAGCCGGCATGGGCTCCAGAACCGGGCTGAGATCCCGCCTCGCCGCAAAAACCAAGCCGAACCCGCGCCACAGCGCTGTGAAACGCCAGCAGGGATGCCCCCAAGAAGGCTGAACGGATTTTAATCATCTACCTGAGTCATAAAGTGGTTGAGAGATTAGATGGAGTAAAAAGAAACCCTGCTCCTTTCAGGCACAGGGAATCGGGGCACAGAAGGATGGAACCGCTCACCGAAGGGTCTTGCTCTGCAAGAAGCCCGTCGAGTTGCTAATTTGGGGTCAAATGCTTTACTCCCAGGTCATTTGTCAGTCTGTAGGTGGAGCAGCAGATGTTCTGCTGGGTAAGTGCTGAAATATACTTGAGCTGGGGGAAAAAGTAAGGAGCTGGAGACACACAGCTTGATGGAAATCACCTTTGGAAGGACAACATAAGCTCTTCCAAGATGCGTGGTAGGACCTTAGAGGTTCTGCACTACCATCTCGAGGGCCGAGGCGAGGAGCACACGACCGCTGGTGGCAGACGCACACGCGCAGGCAGCGCCCTGCACACACCTGCCTGCAAAGCAGAAGTCGGATTTCTTTCCTGCCACAAACAGATGTGCCCTGCAGAAGCTCTGGAAGGGGCTGGGGGGTGGAACGGCGACCCACCAAGCCCGGAACCTCGGACAGTCTTTGCCTTACTCCAAAAATTCACTTTAAAATATTAAGGGTGTTGAAGCACTGAAAGTTTGCCCAGGAATTGCAGAAAGAGCGCTGGGGGAAGTGGAGGATTCTCTGCAGGCAGGTGGAGGAAGAGGAGGAGGAATGCAGCCTCATGCTCTGCTCCTGCAGCCGCTACGTTCCAGCGGCTGCTATTAATAGAGCTGCCGGCCGGGGCGAAATTCTCCGCTGGTGCCTATAGTTACCAGCCCCACAACACTGCAGAGCTTTTCAAAACAAGTTCCAGAGGAACCCTCCCGGAGGAGCAACGAGCCAGAGGCCAAATAAAGCTTGAGGGATGGGAGGAGACCGGGGATCCTGCACCGAAATCCAGGAGCAGGGTCCTGCGAAGGGGAACAGGCTGCACCCTGTTACAGATAGAAGCATCACTGCACATTGACATCAAGGTTTGACTGCCCTCGCTGGCGAGACAAATAAATTCAGATTCTGCTTTAAAAGTAATCTGGCCCCATACACAAGTATTTAATACAACTGCTTGGCCTTTTTAATAACACAGTGACAGGCACTGGCACAGTACAGCATCAAAGGGCTTCTCCAGGCATCAAACGTGGGTTAAAGCTCTTGCAGGAGATAAGCACTACAGTGGTTGGTAGAATAATAACCTGGGGGAAACAGAGCAATTCCCACCCCAGTGACTCTTCCTCCTTGCGAGGCAGCCCAGGCCA